AGATCAGCGAGGGATCAGCGAGGGAATGTGTTTTTTGTCATTTCCCTCGCTGATCCCTCGCTGATCTGCGAGGGAAAATTTCCCTCGCTGATAGTCGTCGCTGATACCTGGTTTTCTAGTAGTGTTGAGAACGTAATTTAGAGCTTAGATTATACACAATTTTATCATTTAATGTTAGGTTTATAATTTCTCTTCGGTGTTTGGTGTTCTTCATTAATCAAAGTTCCTCCTCTTTCCTGTGGACATACATCACCATACGGTGGTGGAACTACTGTGTTTTGTATGTTTCCAAAGTTCTTTGGTTGATTGATCGTTGTTTTTTCGATCCTACTTTGTTATCCACATTCATTATTGGTTGGCATCATATATTTGATAGTAATTGAATAAAGTTCATTACTTTTATTTGTTTTTGGGAACTTTTTGGTGTCCAAACCCCCAACATGAAGCCTATCAAAAGGATTTCAAAACCAACAAATTAGTGATATTTAATGCGACTTATTTAGTGTTAAATATGACCGACTTTCTTATGGACCATCAGTTGGAATTTTGTTTAAAGTCGATCAATAGTTAAGTTTGTAGAATTTAGTACAAATATTCTTGCAGCCTCTTATAGATTATATTGCATTTAAGGTATGTTGTTGTTTTTTCATTAAATTATGTATGGGTAAAGTCGTATATGGATTAATCTGTCTATATAAATTGAAAAGGTCTTTTCAACGGATATAAGTAATGTGGTTTTTTTAATTGGGAGAGTCAGCTCTTGGGAAAAAACCTTGGTTTCTATACAAATCATGTCCTAAAAGCTTACTGAATAAATCACTTTCTATATAATTAAGCAATTATTAAATAGTCATGTTAAGTTGAACGAACAAGCTATGAGCTCCATTAAACTCATTAAGCTGCTAATAAATATGCTCTTACTTGTATATATAGTTCTTGTTTCATAAACAAAAATTCAATGGGTGTATTTAAATTAAATATATCCCGAATTTTAAAAGTAGCAAGCCTTGATTTTCTTACAAATCAAACTAAATTAACCAAACAAATGCAATAAATCCTTTTAAATTAAAGGGCATTTGGTTTGCAGATTTTAAAGGAATTTGATGGAATTGGAATATAGAATTCCATTGACCAAATTCCGTACCCTCGTTTGGTTCATTCTTTTTCACGAATGAAATCTTCAAAATCCTAAAAACTCCACAAATAAAGGAATTTAACATTCTTTAGCAACTGCATGGTATTTTGATGGGATGAAATTCTCTATTTTCATAATACCAAATATGCCCTTAAGCCACTATACCCTAATCTCATAAAACCCAATATGACCATCATCGACCACCTTCGACCACCGTCGATCTGAATCACCACCGACCACCATCGATCTGAACCACCGTCGAATACCATCAATCTGAACCACCATTGATTTGATCCACCGCCGGCCACCACTGATTTGAACCACCGCCGGCCACCACCGATTTGAACCATCGTCGGCCACCACCAATCTGAACCACCACAGACCATCGCCATCTGAACCACCACAGACCATCATCGATCTGAACCACTGCTAACTATTACCGATCTGAACCACTGCCAACTACTACCAATCTGAATCACCGCCAGCCACCCGCCGATCTGAATCACCGACGACCATCATCGATCTGAACAACCACCGATCTGATCCATCGTCGATCTGAACCACCTCTGATTTGAACCACATCCTACCATCGCCACCAGAAGTACCACAAATCATCATCGATCTAAACCACTGCCAGCCACGGCGACTACATCGATCTGAATCACCGTCGACCACCACCGACCACCAACAATTTGAACAACCACCGATCTGAACCACACCCGTCATCGTTGATTTGAACCACCGTCCATCTGAACCACTGCTGACCACCTCCATCTGAACCACTACGGACCACCACTGATATGGACCACCACCGATCTGAACCAACGTCGACCGCCTTTGATTTAGTAACGTCGTTTGGTTTATGGTTATATTTAGGTTGTGTATTTTATATTGTTTTATATATCAAATAATTATTTTATTAAAGTATTTTTTGTTTTAAAAATTAAAATTTTCAAAAAAGCATATTTTGGTCATTTATCAATATTTCATTGCAATTCCAAAGCTACATTTTGTGAACTAAACAGACAGATTCCAATTCCTTAACAAATTATATTCCAATGTCTGTCAACCAAGCATGTGTCAAACCTGACAACATTTCATTCTAATTTCTTAAAAGTCAAATTTCTTTAACACACTTCATTCTATCCAAAAATATTTTGCGAAACAAACATCACCTTAGATTAATGAGATCGTAGGATGCATCTGAATCTTTTACTTTGCCATAAAACGTGTGTGAAAAAGAATTGAAGTGAATCTTCAAAATAATAAAGCTGGGGAACAATATATGTATAATATTTTCTTGTGATGCATGCAGCGTTCCAATTATGAATATATAATTTGTGAAGCATATGAAAGTCGTATATGGAAGTCGTATATGGAAGTCGTAATAAAACCACAGCCCAAAGTCTTTACCTACACACCCAAATTCTTGCATCAATTGTTATACTTCAACAATTGCTAATTTACTTTGGACCCCCTTTACTAGTAATCTAATTCTTTTAATCCCCTTCTACAATTTACCACTATATATCTAATATCAGGGAAATTTACAGAAATAATCAATCAGCAAAAAAAATTTCACTTTCTAGTCATTTTCAGACCTCATTTCACTCTGTAGTCAATCTTACGAGGAAAGCTTACACATATGCATAAGGATTGGTTTTCGACAAATAAAAAGTGGAATCTTTACAAGGAAAGTGGAATCCTTATGTTGAAAGTGGAATTATGCGTATAAATTAGCTAAAAACTGAATTGAGGTGAAAATGATTATATAAAGTAAAAAAAGCTTAGAAGATTGTTTATTTTCATAAACTTCTGGTCTCTAATATCCCTTATTTCCTTTACATTTGGCAAAAACTCACCTTCTCTCCTTGTCGCACTTCATAACTACAAGTCAAATAAGGTTTTTATGAAACCAATCGTTTAACTCATTTCAAGAAATACTTGCTGATTTTGCCTATAGCCTAACCTATTCGTACCTCACTTTAAATGGGTTACATTACATACCATATAGCATTCTTTTTAGTTTTGTTTACTTCACTTGATACACAAAATCAACCAAAGTGAGTTCCATATGTATTCGTTACAATTAAGTGTATTTAAAAGTCCAAAATAGTTGGAGGTGGTTTCTTGTAAATAAAGCTTTGCAACACATGCATGGCAATATGGCAAGTCAAATCACCAATCGAGTAGCTAGCTGCTAGACCATTCCCTAAAACCCTTTCGCATTCCCACACAGCCTCCTCCTACATGAGGAAGGTAGTCTTTACCAAACCAAATATCCAATTTCCAGTGAGAAGTTAATAAACTTCATGGCGATGAGAGAACATTTCTGTTTTCTTGTTGGTGTCATCATTTTGCTAGTGGCAGCACAATTCAGCATCACCCATTGCCGATTCCTTCGGCCAACACATCTCACCAACGGTTCAGTCACTGATGAGCTCGGTGTGTCTTCATGCAAAAACGTGATGACTCGTGGCAATCGAGCTTCGTGGAAGAGGGAGCTGGGATACAGGTTGGCTTCTGGGCCAAGCAAAAGAGGTCCAGGCCATTAATTAATATTTCCATGTATTTTTTTTTTCTGTTTTTATCTTTGATCTCTATATTACTTACATACACGTAAATCGTAGCAAAACTGCTACACAGTAGAAAACGTATAGTGAAGATTCGTTACACATTATCAATTAGTCCATCGTTTTGTTCATGTGGATTTCTTAATCAAGGTTAGCAATTTTGCTTCTATGTCAATCAGTTTTAACAAAATCAAGGTCGTATATAATTTGCATGAAAGCTGTATCTTGAAATATATATTGAAGATCATGAATATTGATGTGGTAAATAGTTAGAAAGCTTAATTGTCTCAAGAGGATATGCTAGAGCAATCATACATGATATATGCAATCAACTTTTTGGTTGGATTGACGTGTTTGAGTTATTCAGACACACACACACACACTCTCTCTCTCTCTCTCTCTCTCTTTATTTATTTATTTATATATATATATATATATATATATATACTAGTTATGTATCCGTACAATACGACGAGAATATGAAATTTGAAAAAATGAAAGTGAGCATTCGAAATTGTTAGATCATAAGCTTTATTGATATTCACAGTAAAGGTATGAATATCTAGTCTCTTAATTTCTAATGAATTTTGTAATGTTTTTAGCTTTTATATTCAAGATGATTATGTGTTTCATAAAAACAAAAAGTGTTAAATAACTCACGACGAGGAGTGCCGACCTCAAAGATCCCAAAATCATTTATATTCTACCCTTCCAACAATAGTAAAACAAAAGCAAATTATACGTCTTTATGTTACACATTGCAGGTGAAAATAACATCAGCCATGAAAAAATATGTGAAAGTGAAAAACAATCAACATTCAAAGAATATAATGTAATGTCACAGTGGCATTGAGTTTAAACTTTCTTTTTAAACAAACAGAGATAAAATAAATCGTAGATCTACAGTCCGACCATTATAAGCTCAATAGGAAACAACAAATTTTACCAGCTGATGAGAGATCACATTTGACTAAAAATCTCATAGAAACTTAAATCTTAATGTGTGAGGCTAGGGAGGAGCCATTTCTCTCTCTTAGAATTTAATTATGAAAAATTCTACAATTTTGAAAAAAATTTATACACTTACACCCTACTTTCTTCATTTTAGTTTAAGTTTTGAAAGATCCAAAAGGAAAAAAGAATGAATTAAAAACTAAAAAAATGTCCACTTTTTCAATTTTAAAGAATCTGTAGGAGATGTTAAAAAGTGCACAGTTTTTTTGTTAACTATGGTTTCGGGATAGCTTGAGCGCAACTCAAATAGTCCTAAAGACCCTGAAGAACAACCAATAAAATTTCCAATAGTCTTGCAGAACTCAAACGGTGACCTCTGAAGAAAATTTTTAAAGGTACAAACATTAATATCAGTCGACCTAACCCCACAAGATTAAAACAATTGCAAAGTTGCACGTTGAAAGCACAACCCACAACCAAAGCATTTCAACAACTTCATCCACCATAAATGACATTAAAACCAACAACAAAGCAAAATAGCAAATCTTAAAAGCATAATCCATTTCATAAGAAACTGGCCAACACTAACAGGGAACATAAAAGTCAAAAACACTAAAGCAACAAAACGAATTTGTTCTCTATATGCATCATAATAGCTAAAAGTCTATTCAATACTATCCCATGACCAAGATCAACCTATCAATTACCAACAAATTTGCTAACGGTATTAAGAAACTACAAGACAAATTTCGGTTTTTACCATATTTTGATCAATCATCATCTTCATCCCATAAACACATAAGAACTACCCTTGGATCATAACCAACCTACACAATATTTGAAACTTAAAATTTTTGGATCTTCAAGAACATACTCCTCACTGCATTCATCATCATTAACCTCAGACTTAGGGGTCATTTACTAAAGGCTTACCCAGTAAGTGCTTATCGAGTTATTTTCCTTAGCAAATGAACATGGCAAGGCTGAGAATCATACCTGGTAAGAGCAAATAAGGATGAAGAGTCCTACCCGGAAAATGAGGATGACGACTTTTGCCCGGTAAGCAGATATTGGGTAAATTGTTGCATATGATATTGTTTTGATGAATTACAATCTTACCCGGTAAAGTGGGTTAGAGTGTTGACTTTTAGCGGTAAGCGCTTACCAGGTAACCATTTGGGTAAACTCCCACTTGCCCGAATCATCATCACCACCAACAGCCTGATTTTATTACAACAAACCAATAACATATGATCCAAAGATGACACCATTTAAACATATTTTACAACAGTAATTACCAGCTTTTTGTTGTAGGAGGCAAGGGTTTTCTCATATTCCTTCTTTTTTCTCTCAGTTTTTGCCAACGAAAGGTGCATTGATTTTCTTAAAGCTAATGACGGATTACTTATGGCATCAAACATTGATTTCCATTTTGTTCCACCAGCTCTACCAACCTGTTGATTGTTTATTATGATCCAACGACCATAGACGAACCATACAACCAATTCAACCATTTTCAACAAGAAAATACAAAGTTTAGATTGTAAGAATTTTAGAGAAACACTCACTGTAGCAACGACTTTGTTGCCAGGGTTCTCTTACTTAAACGCATAAGAAGTGAAACTATCATCATGGACAATTTGGGGGGAAACCTAAGGGATCTAACCATACTAAATCTATTGCATAAGAAATCCAGAAAACACAACCAAAAGATGAAAATTCCTTCAATAAAGTCGTATCATTGAAAAATGTAATCTCTGTGCTATAAGAATTGAAACATATCATATCATCAAAGAGTGTATAATGGATTCAGGCAGCTGCGGAAGAAGACAGAACAATCAAGGGAACCCAAAAAAACTATGAGTAACATTGTTGATCTTAGTATTCAACATCTCTTGAAAATCGTGTCCAAGCCCGACCAAAAAACAAGTGAGAGAAAGATGAGGCTGGCCATTATAGCTATAAATAGCAAACCATAAACTAAGGGCACAATAGCAATCGGACAATCAAGATACGCAAATGAGTTGATCACCAAGAAACTATTGAAGTAGTCAAAATTAGTTTTTATGAATAAGAGTCATGTACCGAGTTTATAGGAAGGTCTTTAGAAGATAAGTTTCTTTTGATTTTATCTCCTAATTAGTAGTAATCTGATAGGGTGAGTCAAGCTATTTTAGCTCCTATTTCTTCTTATCTGTAGGCTATATATACAGCCATATTCTTGATTGAATAAGGTGAACAATACCATTTGAATACTTCAGATTATAACTTTGATCCATCAATTGGTATCAGAGCCACTTTGAGGGGGTGAGGGAAAAACACAAGGGTGTGAGAGATGGCGAGTGACTCCAACAGTTTTCAAACTCCATGTGTGCCAAAGTTTCATGGGGATTACGATCACTGGAGTTTGCTTATGGAGAACCTGCTTCGTTCAAAGGAGTATTGGAGTGTAATTGAAGGTGGGTATCAAGAACCTGTTGTGGGAGAGGTGTTGATAGCAGCACAACAGAAAGCCCTGGGTGAGGCAAAACTCAAGGATCTGAAAGCTCGAAATTATTTGTTTCAGGCCCTTGATAAGTCTATTTTGAAGACCATCATTCAGAAAGATACCGCGAAGCAGCTATGGGAGTCCATGAAGGTTAAGTATCAAGGGAACGCAAGGGTAAAGTGTGCCCAATTGCAGAGACTTCGAAGGGAATTCGAGACCCTCGAAATGAAGACGGGAGAATCGGTTACCGATTACTTCGGAAGGGTAATGGTTGTCGCCAACGATATGAGAAACTGTGGYGAAGATATGAATGATGTCAAGATTRTGGAGAAGATATTACGCACCTTGACTGAAAATTTCAATTTTATTGTTTGCTCGATAGAAGAATCCAAGGACATCGATGACTTGACAGTTGATGAATTGCAGAGTACTTTACTGGTGCATGAACAAAAGGTGCGACGTCGAGGAAGTGATGAACAAGTTCTGAAGGTTGAGCATGATTCAAACAACGGACGAGGCAGGGGCAGAGGCAGGGGTACTTACTCAAGAGGTGGAAGCTATCAAAGGGGACGAGGGCGAGGAAGAGGTCGAGGAAATTTCAACAAGATGACCATTCAATGTTACTGGTGTCAAAAGTTTGGACATTTTCAGTACGAGTGCCCTGATGCTGCAAAAGGTGTCAACTATGTAGAATTTGATGAAGGAGAGGAGCTACTGTTAATGGCTTATGCCGAAGTTAATAAAGCCAACACTCAAGCAGAATGGTATCTTGACTCAGGTTGTTCAATCACATGACAGGTAATAGAGATTGGTTTGTTCAAATTGATTAAAGTTTTAGTCACACGGTGAAACTTGGAAATAGCACTCGGTTAGCAGTTACGGGAAAGGGAAATATACGCCTTGAGATTGAGGGCACAACACAAACCATCACTGATGTTTTTTTAGTTCCAGAGTTGTCTACTAACCTGTTAAGTATGGGTCAATTGCAAGAGAAGGGCGTGACATTTGTAATTGAGGCTGGTGCTTGCAAAATGTATCATCCTCTAACGGGGTTAATTTCAACCACTAAAATCACTTCAAATCGGATGTTTTTGGTCACTGCAGTCATGAAATCTCTTCCAAACTCTTGTATTCATGTTGATAAAGATGCTGATATAGACCTTTGGCACCGAAGATATGGGCATTTGAACAACAAGGCCATTACAATGATGCAACGTAAGCAAATGGTGAAGGGACTGCCTCAGTTAAAAGAAGAAGCTAAGGTGTGCGAGGTGTGCAATATTGGCAAGCAACATCGTGAAACCATACCGAAAAGAAGTGAATGGAAAGCATCGCAGAAACTTCAGTTAATACACACAGATCTTTGTGGTCC